TTTTTTTTTTTTGGATTTGATTATCTGCTTTTTGTGTTTTCTTTGATACCACAGACAGTTATGCAAAGCAAGGAGAATTTCGGAGAAAGAGAAGGAGCATGGATGGAGTGGACGATACTATAAATCCTGCTACTGGAAGGTACTGGTCGCCTGCCATCACGCATTTTTATGTATACCCCATTCTGACCTTGTTTTGTGATTGATTCTGCTTATTTTTCGTGTTTGCTTTTATTCTGTTTGATATTTTCCATGAGGCAGTCTAGTGATGCATAGGTATGAGAGGTCTGCTTTTTATATTATTACTGGGAAACATTTTCAGCTATGATACCAAGTGAGATGATGTTGATGTTCTGTTTTTCGTCTACTTTTTTCCCGTTTTTGACTTATAATTTGGTTTGAATGCGATTACGAGGGCTTTTTGCTCCGTTTCATTGTTTCAGATTGATTTTAGTGTCGTGCCTATGCTGATTCTGTTGATTGTCTTTGTTTTGAATCGTTTATATACCTCGATTGTTGTTGTTTGATATCCCGAAATACTTATTATGTGGTAGAAATGCAGTTTCATTGTAGTCTCGCTCTCTTATGTTAAGTTCTTTGGCGTCTAGTACTTGGTCGTAGTGTCTGAGACTAGTTGAAATTGATCGTAAATCTACCATTGAGATATTTCGAGACTCAAAACAAAAAGAGGGTATCCAAAAGCAACGACAAGCAATAACACATACAATCCATTTCAAACAACCACGCATCCAATATGCTCAATAATCCTTGATAACACCATTAAATGTACCCAACAGCCTGCTCCCCCTCATAAATAGTAGGTGCCGGATACGGATACACAACCGTTCCTTGCCCCAACCCAGTTTTCGACCCGGGTCTGGAGATCACGGATACATCGAATCCCTTGGGAGAGTATGTACATGTTGTATATGTGGAGGCAAGGGTTGAGCCGCTCCAGGAGCGGGCGTGTGTCTCTGAATGCGATGGTGGGAGTGGGAGTGGGGATGGTTTGTGTTGGAATTGGGACTGGGATTGAGGGGAGGTTAGGGTTGGAGATGGCGATATTGGGGGTGTCATGTTTGCATTGGCATCAGTGTCTGTATCATGAGTCGTCCCGTCCTGCAGGATAAACTCAAAATCCCTATCCACAGCAGAGCCCATGGCCATAGACAACGAACGCGGCACAGGTCTCGCTATACTCGTGCGCTGAATTCTCGCGAAATGCGGAATCAGAGGACTAGTTGGCGTTGAATGGCGCTGTCGTTCTGGTCTGGCAATAGGCCAAGCGGTAGAAGAATGCCGTGGCCCCGGCGCCGTCCCAACAGGTTTCCGCGGAAGCTGGAACGACGCTGACCCTGATATACTTCCTTCCGTGTTCCGCGCACGAGGGATAACAGGTGGTAGTGAGAAGCCCGGCGGCGAAGAGAAGACTCTCTGCGGTCGTTTAATTGGCGAATCCAGGTCTTTGATATGGAAGTTATCGAAGGAGGGGAGGTCTGGGAGTGCGTGGTGGGGCTTGTTGTAGATGCTTAGTTCGAGGAAGTGGTTTCCTTTCTCTGGTATTTGGGTTTGTGCTTGAGGTTGGGGTTTAGATGCAGGAAAATTGGTCATTGACTGGACTTGTCTAAAGTCCGAGGGCGCGCTGATGCGGATTGCGCTGGGTCTGGGTCCGGGTCCGATGGTGGATCTCCGGTTGAAGGAGAGACTTGCGCGGATGGAGGATGTTCTTGACATTGTTCTGTCGCGTATCCATGGAGGTCGCGGGAGGGGTGGTGGTGATAGTGGAGTCACAGTGTCAATATCCTTCTCATTATCGAATGCATTCAAACGCATAGGAGAAACGAGCTCCGGCTGAGTATTTATTGTCATATCTCGCTCCCGCTTGACGCCTGTACTCATTAGCTATCTGCCGTGGTATAGAAGAATGCATCTATAGGTACTGACTCTTCGCCTCGTGCTTCCGCTGCTGACCTCCATTCTCTGACTCGGAACAAAGAAAGCAGGAGATCCAGCCAGCGAATCGCGATCCTGCGAGCTCGAGAACCGTCATCGTCAGCTTCACACCTCCATACGAGTACAGAGTACAGAGTGCAGTATGGAGAACTCCGCATGCGCAAGCAAAGCAAGGCAAGGCAAGGCAAGGCAAGGCAAAAGAAAAGAAAATAAAGGGTAGGTTTGAACGTGCAGCTGGACAGCGATAAAAGTAGCCCCCACGCATCCCATCCATTGAGCATGCACATCAACTACTATCAGACCAAGACTTAGCTAAAGCGTGGCGCTAATTCAGAAGTGCAGCGCCGGGTGGAGATATCACATTGTACATCATAGACGGAGAGGAGTGTCGTTGGTTGAGGGCTGGCGGAAGGTGGGCGCGTAGTGGTCGTGGTGGTGGTTGGTGTATTCCAATCATCGTCGCCGATTGTGGTGATCTGCAGGTCCATTTTTGAGAAGAAGTCGTCGCACGTGAGGGTTCAAGAGTGGTGTTCTATTCCTGCAGGTTTTTTATAGAATTGATTGTTTATTTTGGTGGTCCGGATTGAATCGAATAAGCGGAATTGGTATAGTATAATCGTGTTATTGAGCCCACTAGACTATCTAATCTGTATCCGATGACCTCCCCAAAAATATACCAGATAATAAGCAATTGAATCGACGCGCTTAGACACGGTAACAAGACTGCCATGTCGTTAGCATATGTCCAAAAACAACCGCGAAGGAAGAAACTCACCCCCTTGCCCTCAGGGCAACAAGCAGTAATAGACTTGCAAGATGGCCCGTCATCACCTTTCTTAGTAAAACCTTAAAACGCTGTTAGTAACCAGTGGCTTGCACTACTCGAAATGCGGAAAACATACCAAGAACGTTAATATTCTCAATAAGCGAGAACTTGGCACAAGATTGCTCCTGGGAGCCGATGATAGGATTAAGCAAACCATCAGTCAGAAGGTCAGAGAGGGGGTCGTCGGCGTGGATGTCGGAATGCTCGAAACAGCAGGCGAGATGGCCACCGCCACAGTCGTTCTTTTGTTGGTGCACGTCGACGGAGGAACGGCTGGGCTGGGCCGTGACGATGAGAACGAAGGTGAAGAGGGTGGCGATGGTGGTGAATTGCATTTTTGGTGGTTTTGTTGGGCTGGAGAGCCACGTTCTTAGATATGTCGGAACAAAGTGAGAGAAGTAACGGCTTGCTTTGGCCTTTGGTCTGTATGGATGAGCTCGATACTGGTCGTGGTCGAGACGGTCAATATAGCTTTGAGAGCCAGTTCGATGCGCTCGTTCAGCCTGCGGTTTTACATCCTGGTGTAGCTGTTGCAGAGACTTCAAAATCGAGAACACAGAATGCACGCCCCAGACATGCCTCGAGTGCCTTGCGTAGAATGGCGGTATGCGAATCGGAAGGATATACTCCGTTCCCTACACGGGAGATAGTCATGGGGAAGTGCCATAACTGCAAGGGATTGGTGTATTCAAGAAAATGTCCCTGGATAATCTTCATCGGTTCTTCCATGCCAATGCGGATCCATGGCAAAATCTCGGGCGTATATAGTGAAGAGATTCTCCATGCTGGTACCTTGGTACTGGTCCTCATGCATATCGTTTGCTTCTTTAGCCCATATATTGCCGTGACTATCCTATAAAACCAGTTAACATAGACTCGGAATGATAAACATACCCTGTACTGATCAAGGTCACTATGCATGCTGCATGGTCGGGGTGTTAAACCTGCATCCCCCAGCCGACATGCAATATAATGCAGATAACTAGACGGTGACTGAGAATGATGATACTCCTCGAGCGAGGCAAGACAAAAATATCTCAGGCCTACCTGTACAGAGTAGAGATCACTACGGGCAGTCAAGGGATAGTTCATGGATATACTCAATATATCCTCGGTCTGCAATATGCCGTCATCGTACAGCGACTTCCACGGTGATAGGTATTACCGCTCTGTAACACATTTCAAATAGCCAAAATAATCATATTGAAAATCATCGTAATCATAACATGGACGCATCCGGGATATCTGCTCTGAACACCGTGTGGACTTGGTCATAGCAACCCGACCCCACCGTAAACGATCGCAATATCCGTAACTTTGTGCTCGCGTTGTATGCATATACATATCAGTGTGTGCAAGTGTCCCCCTACTAGTATCTGATCACGAGTCTGGCCGGAAGACTATCGAGCTTATCGAGTGTCTTTATCCGTTGCCATCGTCCGCCCCCAGGGTACCCAGCGTTCTTTTTATTTTTCTTCATTTTTATGACCACCCCAGACTCGGATACGGATATCTTCGATCGAAAGATAGGAAGTGGACGAAGTTGTTTTGTTTACTGGGTCCGGATTTCACCATCCTGTTCAACATGGATGTGCTCGGTAGTTTGGAGGGCGTTGACGTGGTCAGCCGGGTACTCGACGCTGTGACGTTGTCAGTTTAAAGGACTGATAAAAGGAATAAAAGAGATAACATGAAGGGTGTATCGCTTACGTGAAGCCCTTGATGAGGCTGTACTCGTGCTGGATGGTTCCACCTTGTTCTCTTGCTTGCTGCTTGGCCCTGGGACATGTTAGTCAAGGGTGGTGTGAATGAAGCGGGAATAGCTTAGCCATACTTCTCGAGCTGCTCCTGGGGAGCGTCCTTCTTGAGGGTGACCTAGATAGGGGGTTAGCATTGTAGTTATAGGAGGTAGGTCATAGTCGAGTAGACGAACGTTGTAGAGAGGCATTTTGCTGGCTTGGTGAGACAGAAGTCGTCGTGTAGGGTAAAGAGTCGGTAGGCGAATAATGTAGGGCGGGGAAGTTTGACAGATGGATGAAAGTGCGAAGACAGTGATAGGAAGAAGAAGCTATATATAAGGTGGCAGATAAAATAGGCGGGGTTGAGGCTGATAAGAGGGGGGGACTATGAACTCGCACGTTGTCTACCTCCACTACTTATACTGTCCCCTTTGATGTATTACTAGACATACCATTTGGTTACTTTTTTGCCATGTTGCGCCATTCATCTCAGCCACTCTCAGACAGTGGCTATTCCCTGCCTTGCCTTGGAGATGATGTGATTGACTGTGGTCAGTTACCACATCCGTATACGACATCTGCAACCCGCCAGAAAGATAAATTTGCACCGTTTTTTCCAGCTAGATTAGTATGAGAATACAGTCAGATCCGCGATGATATGAGAGCTAAGCCTCCAGACTACGTGTTTCCCCTTACACTGTACTATCATCGCTATCCGCGGTTTGCGATGCCCGATGACGCTGGCCATGGCGGGGGCGGGGCTGTCACGTGATATGACATAGCTATACGCCGTACACTTACTTCAAAGGTTTAGCAGTCAACAATAAAATACCGTATTTGTATTGCAACACTGCAGAATCTACTGTCCAACATAGCCTGTTCCGTCATCCGGTCTAGGGGGCATTCGCAGTCCATGCATTCCGGCGTATTTCGGACTCTCCGGCTCCTTCCACCTCTCCAGGACCTTGGAGTCGCGTAGCTGGTAGATCTCTACACCAAGGGGACGAGTGGTTGCACCCATGTCTCCTTCTTTGTCATCCCAGCCCCAGTTGGAAAGATCGCCTGTCATAAATCCGTCAGTCATGACCGTACACCGTAGATTCAGATTCATCCATACCACCGGGACAAGCGGAAAGTGCACAGAGCACATCCACTTCTGCAAAGAATTCGAAATACTCCCCTGGCTTTGCAGGTGAAGTCTCCATGAAGTACTTGGCATCCTCATCTAGCCCAGTCACTTGGAAGACGTTCAAAACATCATGCACATCCAATTCCGTCAACCCGTACGGCACTACCGCACGGGTAAGATTCGAATGGCAATGGAAATCAAACGTCTCTCCGCCCATAAGCAAGTTGACGTACGGATCACATCTAGTGCCCAAAAGATCATGAACCCTTCCTCCCCATTGTGATGTTCCGAATCCTACACCTGACTTCCGCTTCCCTTCCGAATCTAGCACCTCATGCAGCTGCCCACCTCCCAGCGAATCACCAGTGATCGACACCAGAGGTCGCAAGTATGGCAAATTCGACCAAAGCCTGTCACCGACAGAGACGTGCGATGCATGAATCTGACGCGTACGAGCAGCCCAGAGTCGTTCACGGGGATTCTTTGCATTCCAGATGTTCAGATCGCCAACCTGGGGTCCAAGCGGAGTGGTTAATCGACAAACATGGCCGGCTGTGACGATCCATGCCTGGCCGGAGCAGGGACGGATGGTGAACGATGAATTCAGCTCACGGGCGGACGCATCAGAGGCTGTCTCGGAGATAGTTCTGTATAGCTGAGAGGTTGCAAAGACCGACGATTCCGGAGGTGCAGAGTATGCGGGGGGAGGGCGGCGCGGGGTAGACATCTTGGTTTGATTGTAGGAGTACTCTGTAGAGACAAGTCGCTTGGTGTGAATGCCAATGGTGCAGGGGCATTCATCCTATATTTATCTGGTCACGCCTGACCTCGGACATGTTGCGATAGCGCCGATATTGCATCCTGTCATTAGTGTAGCAGTTTAGCTCATATCGCATCTCGTATGTACAAGGGTACGTATCTGGCATGTCTAATCGACTTCGGGCCGGCATGATAGGGTCAACCCTTATCATGGCAGGGCGGCCCGATAATAATAGCTTCCATTTTGGGATTTAGATGCCTAATATTTAAGACATTAACAAAATCTTTCCGTTCCTCCCGGCGATAGAAAATTCCGCCCCGAACCGCAAAAAGGAAACGCCGATAACATTTTTCGAGACCGAGCAAGCTAGCAGCATTCAACGAGCACAGTTCACGGACCGACACGATTGGTTTTTGCTTGTTGTGAGATTTGAGTAAGGTCCGAAGAGACCTGATTCTCAATATGGAACAGCAATCAAACCGGACGCATCGCCCCGCCAAGGAGAAGAAAAAGTATGAAGGTATGTAGGCCGGAGATAGCTCCGATATTTGCGCTTGCAAAAGATTTGGCAGAATCTTCAATCACGTTTTCCTTCAATATCTAGATACTAACATGGTTTCTTCATAGGTGTCAATCCGAAGGCGTTTGCGGTCTCAAATCCGGGAAAGTTGAATAAACAAGCGGCTCGATCGCATGATGTATGGTTTCAAGACCTTGAAATTTTGCGATGGCATAAAGTATCCGAGTACTAATCCTTCTTCGCACTCATAGATCAAAGAGAAACGTCTCCATGTGCCTCTTGTCGACCGTATTCCTGAAGAGGCCCCTCCAGTGATCGTGGCGGTGGTTGGACCTTCGGGGGTATGTATTCCTATGCGATGAATTGCATTCGCAGGAAGAAGTTTCTAACCATTCAATCCTTGTGCTTAGGTCGGAAAAACAACCCTCATCAAGTCCCTGATTCGCCGCTATACCAAGCAAACCCTCAGCACTCCCCAGGGACCCTTGACCGTCATCACGTCGAAAAAGCGGCGCCTGACATTCCTCGAAAGTCCTTCAGATTCCCTTGCGAGTATGATTGATGTGGCCAAAATTGCGGATATTGTACTTCTCATGATCGATGGCAACTATGGTTTCGAAATGGAGACTATGGAGTTTTTGAACGTCTTGGGTTCCCACGGTATGCCTGGAAATGTATTCGGTATCCTGACCCATCTGGACCTGTTCAAGAAGCAGAGCACACTGAAGGCGGCAAAAAAGCGCCTCAAGAACCGTTTCTGGAGCGAATTATACAACGGCGCAAAGCTGTTCTATCTTTCCGGCGTTGTGAACGGCCGTTACCCAGACCGCGAAGTTCACAACCTTTCCCGTTTCTTGTCCATCATGAAGAACCCTCGACCTCTTATCTGGCGTAACTCCCACCCATACGCTCTTGCGGATCGCTTTTTGGACATCACCCCGCCGACACAGATCGAAGAGGACCCGAAATGCGACCGAACGGTGGCTCTCTACGGTTATCTCCGAGGCACAAATTTCCCCGCCACGGGTGCGCGAGTTCATGTTCCCGGTGTTGGCGACCTTACCGTGTCAGAAATCGAGAGTCTCCCGGATCCGTGTCCCACTCCCTTTATCGACCAGCAGGTGGCCAAAGCAACTGGCAGGGATTCTAGACGCAGACTAGGAGATAAGCAGAAGTTGCTTTTTGCACCTATGTCCGACGTCGGTGGTGTTTTGGTTGACAAAGATGCAGTCTACATTGATGTCAAGACCGCCAACTTCAACAGAGACGAGGATGAGGAGGATGAAGATCCAGACCGCCGTGGACTAGGAGAACAATTGGTTGTTGGTTTACAGGGTGAAAGGAAACTGCTCGGTGAGGCAGATTCCGGCGTCCGTCTATTCCGCGGTGGTGGTGCTATCAACAAGGCCGACGACGAGGATGAGGAGACTGGCCGGACAAAGAGACGAAGCATCAAGGCTCTTGAAGGTGAAGAGGATGGCCAAGGTCTTTCTGGAGATGACGATGAGGGCTTTGAAAGTGGCGAGGATGAAGAAGATGAAGAGGAGGAGGAGGAGGAGGATGGGGACGACAACAGGATAGACGACGATGATGACGAAGAAGTCGATGTTTCCGCTCCCGCAGACTTTGAGACTTCTTTCAAGGAGAAGCAGAACGGGAACGCTCGTCTTGAAGAGGGCGATCTTGCTTTTGCCGACAGCGATTCCGATCTGGGCTCTATCTCGTCCGCAGAAGACCAGGTCTTGGATGACGACGAGGATGATGATGATGATGATGATGATGACAAAGACGATATGGAGGAAGAAGAAGAGAGCGCTGTTCGATGGAAAGAAAACATGCTTGCCAATGCCCAATCTCTTCATGGAAAGCCCAAGTTCCGTGTCACCGATTTATCGCGGATTCTGTATGACGATGCTGTCGCCCCCGCTGAGGTAATAAAGAGGTGGTCCGGAAAGGAGGAGAGCGATGAGGATGACGAGGACCAAGAAGACGGTGAAGACGACTTCTTTAAGAAGACCAATGCCGAGAAGGAAGAGCTAGCCGATAATCGCGCCATCCCAGAGTTTGACTACGAGCAACTGGAAAAAAAATGGCAGGAAGAGGAGAGACTTGAAGCCTTGCGGAACCGTTTCGTCACCGGTAAACTGTCTCGTGGCGACGACGATGAGGATGAGGATGACGATGATGTCGACGACGCCTTTGACGAGGACGAGGACGACGAAGGAGACGGAGAGTTCGAGGATCTAGAAACGGGTGAGACATTCGGAAAGGAAGAGGGCGAGGAAGAGTCAGAGGCCGAGGAGAAAGAGGAAGGCCCTGTTGACCTTGACGCTGAACGTGAGCGCAATGCAAAGAAGAAAGAAGAGTTGCGACTCCGATTCGAGGAGGAAGACCGAGAAGGCTTTGGAAAACAAAAGGACAACTCTGGCGGCGACGCCGACGAGGAATTTGGCGAAGACGATTGGTACGATGCGCAGAAGGCTAAGCTGCAGAAACAGCAGGATATTAACCGCGCAGAGTTCGATTCGCTGGACCCTGCCTCAAGGGCTCGAGCAGAAGGCTTCAAAGCTGGTACATACGCGCGCATAGTTCTCGAAAAGGTGCCGTATGAATTCGCCGCCAAGTTCAATCCTCGCTTCCCTCTCATTGTCGGTGGACTGTCTCCTACAGAAGATCGGTTTGGTTACGTGCAGATCCGTATCAAGAGACATCGTTGGCACAAGAAGATCTTGAAGAGCAATGATCCCCTCATCTTCTCCCTTGGCTGGCGTCGCTTCCAGACCACCCCCATCTACAGTACCTCGGACAGTCGGACGCGGAACCGTATGCTCAAATACTCTCCTGAGCACATGCACTGCTCCGGAACGTTCTACGGACCTCTCGTCGCACCAAACACCGGCTTCTGTTGTGTGCAGTCATTCTCGAACAAGAACCCCGGTTTCCGGATTGCCGCTACGGGAACCGTGCTCAGCGTCGACGAGCACACGGAGATCGTGAAGAAGCTGAAGCTTACCGGTTACCCGTACAAGATCTTCAAGAACACTGCTTTCATCAAAGACATGTTCAACAGCTCTCTTGAAATCGCCAAGTTTGAAGGCGCCTCTATTCGTACCGTCTCTGGCATCCGTGGCCAGATCAAGCGAGCCCTGAGCAAACCTGAGGGATGTTTCCGTGCTACCTTCGAAGACAAGATCTTGATGAGTGACCTGGTCTTCCTCCGCGCATGGTACCCCATCAAGCCGCACCGCTTCTATAACCCCGTCACCAATCTCCTCGACTTACCCGAGGATGGTACCCACGGCGATTCCGGATGGCAGGGAATGCGGTTGACGGGTCAAGTCCGCCACGAGGAAGGCATCGCCATCCCCACAAAGAAGGGTGCTGAATACCGCCCCATTGACCGTCCTGAGCGTCACTTCAACCCTCTCCGCGTGCCCAAACAGCTTGCTGCGGACCTCCCCTTCAAATCGCAGATCACTAAGATGCGTTCCAAGAAAGACCAGACATACATGCAGAAGCGGGCTGTGGTTCTTGCGGGCGAAGAGAAGAAGGCTCGCGACCTCATGCAAAAGCTCACCACTATGCGCAACGACAAGCAAGCCAAGCGTGCTGCGAAGCAGGAGGAGCGCCGCCAGGTCCACCGGGCGAAGGTGGCTGATAGTCTGGAGAAGAAGAATGAGCGGGAGAAGCGTGAGCGGGATGATTACTGGCGTCGCGAGGGTAAGAAGCGGAAGAACCCGGACGGTGAATCGGGTGGTGGTAGAGGGAAGAAGCGCAAATGATTGTTGTCGGTTTCTGTTCATATTGGTATTTGGTTGGGCCTGTTCAAAAGCCGTTACTGTATCTATGCTGTTGCATGGTGGCTGGCGTTTTGTATCTTCCGACATTAATTGTGTCTATTTTTTTTTTTTTTTTGATGAATCTATATATACCAGGAGAATACAGTCTTTTGTTATGCCCTATTCCTCTTCATTTGAAGCACAACGTTGTATACAATCACGTGCCTACATCATAACTACACGTGACCGCGCCGCGGACGCGTCGTTAATCACCGATGAGGATTCGCCGCAACAGTCAATCACTAACGGTCGAGCAGGGTGAATTTTGGCTGCCCGGTTTGCCATATATCATTCTTACTCTATGGATTGCTTTCTGTCCGGTTGCCCTTACAGCAGCTTCTGAAACTCCGTTGAACAGCCGGTATTGACGGCGTGCGGAGACAAGCAGAACCGCGCGTGAATAACCCGGCAAGAGCACTTCATACAGCATAGCAACAGCAGCAATAACGAAACAATACCGCTAGGAGGAACATTTCCCTAGTGATCCCGATTGTGGGCGCTTACTATCTTGAAGTTCTAGTCCTGAAGTGCCCCGCATCGCATTAGACCAAGTCCCGCGTTGACCCTCTATGCAGGTGGTCGCGCGCGGTGACCTCGACCACGCTCTGTGTCCCGGAGACCATCCCGGCTAGTGCCAATGACCTGAGATGTGTGAATAATTTATTTTCATACATTTAAGTGCCTCGAATACCTGCCTTTCGCCTCCTGACAAGGAAGGATGAATGATAGCGCCGACATCCCGTCAATTCGCGGGGTGTTGCACCAGCATCAGCACCGAGGACCCGTTGGAACAGCAACAGCACCGTCTTACTATGACGGCTCGCTTCGTCCTGCGCAAATACCACGCGGCATTGGAGATCAGCTGCAGCCTATGCGCATGGATGGGAGCCAGGGTAGCATGCAGAGTGGTTGCTGCGGATTGGCGTCGGGGAATCACATTGGTGGCGCGGAACGAAGTAACACTCGCAATCCGAAGTCTCAAGAGTTAGGGCAAGAATGGATAAAGGAGCCATTGGGGGGTTTCCTGGATTCGTGTCAAGAACTGCCGGACGGTGGGACTTATGCTTCATCGGACTTAATGCGACATGGACAACGTGCAGGGGACCGGCAACAGATTAAATCAGAACAATCAGAATCAGATATGCAGGTCAACGGGTCATCGGCATCACCTCTCGTCGATTTGTCCCAGACAATGTCGGGGCAGAAGAGAAATGCTGTCGGTGAGATTAAATCTCCATCCGCAGATATAGTATCGCCTGGTCATGGCGTAGATGGTCCTGCGGGATACCGTTCCAGGAGCATTAGCTCAGCCTCGCATGAAAGCAGGATTGCAGCGGTAAATACATCTCACAGATAAATGGTCATATAGTGTCCAGAATGCTGACGGTTTCGAACCCCAGTTGTCTGTGCAACTCCGCACTCGTCTTTCGCATGCTGCAGCTAAGGTTGAGAAAACCCGACAGTCTTGGGATTTGCGCGGTAAAAGTCCATTGCGTACGTTGGAAGGTGCAGCTCCCGCTCTTCCGTCGACATCTCCTGTTGATAAGGGGGAACAATTGGATGTTGGTATAGGGGTTGATGATCGTCCGGATGCCATAGCCTCCGCTTTGAATCGATCTGCAACCTACAGTTTTCATCCTCCTAATGGCCAGTCACGATTTCCTGAAACATCGCCATCTTTTTCTAAGCCACACTTAACACAGCCAACGTCGCAACATTCACCTAGGAAATTACAACAAGCACCGAAACTCGCACCGCCTGTAGATATCGTTTCCGGCTGGGGTAGTGGCCGGCGACGACGCCCCAATCCTAATGAATGGGCCCAACCTCCACGAATCAGCCCAGCTTCTCGTCACCGACGACATCATTCACAGCTAGAACTCGGAGCATCAAAACCATATTCTGGACATGAATCCCACGCCATCCCGGGAACACCTTCTCTTAGACCATCAAACGAATACCCAACATCCACACAGTATAACGGCTACACAAGGCCACCAACCGACTCACAGGAATCATCAATGGAACAGGATGCCATCGAAACCCTTCTCTTCATGTCTAGCCCGGAAAATTCCGGCTACCGCTCCAACACACGACAACGACACAACACAATATCAAACTGCATCAACAGCTCCATGGGAAGCGGCTCGAGCTCTACTAGCAATCCAAACCCATGCCTTAACCGTCACATGAATACGCATTACAACACTGGCCCATCTGCATTAGAACCGCATGATCAACCCCGGCATAGCGGCCTGGAAGCACACGCCGGAGATGAGATCGATCGCATGCTCGACCAGATGGGAGACAGCGATAGCGAAGATGAAAAGAGATCTGCATCTGCTTATCCGAGAAGTCACACCGTAGCAGGTCATCCGCGAAGGCGTAATGGCTTGTCTAGGTCATGAAAAATTTGCTGCATTAAACCTGCATGTAGAGGGTGTGAAAAATAGATGACATTCCGTCATCTACTTCCGTTATTTGGACAGCGAGCATTGCTTTTGAAATGGTTGTCATCTTGGACCCTAACATAACACGCTACACGTTTTGAGTCATTTTACTACTTGGCCATGCTGGACATTTCATCGCAACAATATTTGTTGGTCGGCATTCAATCCCATGCTACTGCCGATGTTCTACGAAGCGATTCCATTTGAATATTCTCCAAAATGTATTGATATTGCACGGCTTTACAATCATTAGGGCGTCCCAAGGCCGCGACGTTGCTCCGTTTTATTTTACCATTGCCATTTGAGGCACAGTTAATTATTTAAAACCGACGCTCTACTGTCTATCTTTGCTGAGCTATTGCATTTCTTAATTGTTCTTACAGACTGCGGAAGCAGATGCTTATAAACAATATGGAGCTGAAGATGCATGCATGGCGGTTCGTTGACTGGACCGACGTCCGCCATTCTAGTTCACAGCGATTGTACTTGATTCACCAATCATTCAGTACTGTCAGTCTTCAGTCCTTGAAGGGTTTATCATTTATGCTTGTCGAGTATGATATTGCGTGGATGTCCTGAAGTAGAATATAATGGATGCATAATGGCAACTATGCATTGAGTTTTGACTAAGTCTTGACGGCATTCATGCAGACATAGATACAAGTATCGTACTCATCCAAGTTAGCAATGTTTTCAGGCAATAAATGGATCAACATGACTTTCTATGCAACAAATAAAGTAGAGTGAAGTCCCCGACTGTTTAGAGAAGAGAACCCAGGCCCAACACAACCACCCGACTCTAGAAGGCAACTCTTCCAGAGCTTTGCAACTACCCAGGATGGCAGGTCTATTCCGTTCGATGCGGTACACGCGTAGAAGCAGGCGGAGCAAAGAGCTTGTGATTTCACAGGCGCTGATTGTGCAAACATTCGTCGTCAATTCGCTGCTACAAACTATGATGACGATGGCGATGAGATGCTCCATGACATTCTTAATGTGTTGTACAGTGTGCAGCCCAAAGAATTTGGGTGAAAGTCGTCTCCCAGAGACTCTTTCCGGCCGGTAGCGAGGAAGTTGATAGGGGAGACACGCGTCCATCATCTTAGTATCCCTCAGAATAAGTTTCGAGCTGTTGTGAAGCTGCTTGTGACTACGTACTTCGGAAAACCGAGAGTCCCGGTCGAGCAACTGACTGACCTGGACCATGTTGTGGACTGCATCGTCTGCCCCGTTATACAGAAACCAGGTATTGGCATTACCTGGGACAGGTTTGAGCAGGCTGTCGGCAATGGAATGGTAAGACTAGTGGTTCTTTTTCTACCTTATAGTGTCTCAAATACTAAATAAGTCAGCCGCTACTTATGGAAGGCCTTCAGCGTCTCTTGGGGCCGTTTTACGGAGACCTCGAGGACGACAATATCACCGTCAGTCTCCCTGAGCCAGGAAAGGTGGCTACCCTCCCTGTCTTGGCGCAAATGAGCTCCCTTGGCGTCTTTCCATGGTGGTTTGTCTGTGTCAAACCACCCAAGTACTACAACATTAGCGCCATGACCGTCACGGCGTCAGCCCTGGCAGAGGATCTAGATGTATTGCCCAACAAAGCGCCCCCAATCAAGTCGAAATTCTATTGAACAAGAGGGCCGCCTCTTATTAGCTATACAGGCTATCAAAAATCAAGAAATTAGCTCTGTACATCAGGCAGCATGTATTTATAATGTACCTGGATCAACACTACAAGACCGGCTTCATGGCAAGACCTATTGCGCTGAGAAACGTGCCAACAACCATAAATTGACACGAAATGAAGAGGAATCACTTGTATATTGGATATTCTCCATGGATTGATGTGGAGAAGCTCCCAGACCAGCTCATATTGAAGAAATGGCCAATATTCTACTGTCAAAGCGTGGTTCTGCCAACATCCAAACTGTTGGTGTTAATTGGGTTTACAACTTCATTCAACGGAAAGATGAACTCAAAACCAAATATGCTTGATGTTATAATTATCAGCGGGCTAAGAATGAAGATCCAAAAACTATTCAGGAGTGGTTTGATCGGGTGCAAATCACTATCATGCAACATGGGTTCACAGTTGAAGATATCTACAACTTTGATGAGACAGGATATGCAATGGGCCTAATAGCTACTGCTAAGGTAGTTACTAGAGCTGAAATGACTGGTCAGCCCTTTCTTGTACAGCCAGGGAATCGAGAATGGTTGACATCTATTGAGTGTATCAACTCTACTGGATGGGCTCTCCCGCTGTGTATCATCTTCAAAGGAAAGGTCCATATTGAGGGATGGTATCAAGACAAGGCTTTACCACGCAATTGGAGGATAGAAATCAGTGACAATGTGTCACGGAGTACGGGCATTCACCAACAACGCAAGATGTTTGTAAACTTTGGCCTGTTTGAATATAGGGCATGAACCCCCTTCGCACACTAGATAGCGCAGCGCTGGCAGGCCCAGCTTCCTTCTTTCCTTCTCCATGTTAGTATTTCGATAGAGAGTCTACCAATGAATTTATATTGTTCGAGACTGTCACAAATGGATGGACAACTAATCAGATTGGACTACAGTGGCTTCAAGAAACCTTTTTTCCAGCTACAAATGGCTGTATGACTGGAAAATATCGCCTTTTGATTCTTGACTAGAGTGTCACGGACGGCCCCGTGACCCCGCCCCGAACCCGCCCCAAAGCCCGCTGGGCCGGGGTTTGGGGCAGAGGTGCTCGCCCCGCCCTGGGTTTGGGGCAGAGATGCCCGCCCCGCTGATTTTTGGGGCGCCCCGTTGGGGCGGGCTGAGTTGGGGCAGCGGGGTTTGGGGGTGGCCCAGGGCCCGGTTAAGCCCCATTACAGAGCCAAACATATAGTATTGTATGGTATCTATACTGTGTAATGATTACATGCTTACTCTGTACGCTGTGCTCCTATGGTTGCGAGTTACCCTATTATTTTATGAA